CGAATGCAAACCTCTATGGCTAGAAACTGTGCTGCATCACTTCGCTCTGAGTTTTGCTTCTCTTGCCAGCACTACGGGGTGGCTGTGGGCACCACCTCAAAGGCTGTGAGAGCACTGGAAGAGAGCTGCCTCCCGCTGTGTTGGCACCAGTCCTCTCCCTCTGAACCAGTGACTTGGGGCTGGTGAGCTTTGAGAAGCAGCATCAAGCTCTCCTGCAAGTTTTTGTGCTGGCCTCTACGTGCTCTGCTGCTGTGCAGCAGCGCCAGGCAGTGCCGCTCACATGAGCTGGCCCCTGGACTTCAGCGAGCCTACCACAGAACCGAGAGGGATCCCTGATGTTATCACGTTATACACATGCACGGGCTTTGCCGGATCAGAAATTGACAATTTTTAGAGGTAAAGAAAGGGTTATAATGGACAAGACTATTTGTGGCTCTATAAAAAAAACACTGCTGCTTTTGTCACTCGACTGTGTAGCTCCCAAGGCTCCTGTCTGGCTCCCTTGCTCCTGCCTTGCCCAGTCTGTAAAAATTAAACAATTCCTGAGAAACACTGTAATCCCCATGGAGCAAGCATAAAAGAAGACCAGGTCTGGCTACAGAGTCACTATGTAACTTCAACTAAGGCATATCACTGTACCTTTATCTCCTTTAATAAATAGGAAAATTAGACGCCCACCTTCCCACCCCACCCCAGAACTGTGCGCTCTTAGAGCTGTACAAACATGTACGTAACTACTTCTCTGTCTTTGCCACCTAAGCGCATCATACCCAGCCATCCAGAACTTTCTAGAAGTCATTATTTTTAAAATAAAACGAACGGTTTGCCTTCACCTTCACTTTTCTCCTAGTGTGTTTGGAAAATAAAAAAAAAAAAAAGTTGTTTCATAATTGCTGTTGCAGAAGAGACTTGCATTACATTTTCCACCATGCAGCACCCACACAGTTAGACCTTATTCACCTCAGGTACAAGCACACTCCTTGCTGACTTTGAATATATACCTTACAATCTCTGACTCAATTAGCATACAGCAGCTAATCATTCCCTTTGTAATGTATTAACTGCCGTTTGCCTTTCTGCATTGTTGGCTTTTTCCCTTTATTCCCACTGGTTGTTAAGTGGTGACGATGAATAAGTCTAGCACCTACAGCCATGGCTTCTTGCTTTAAAAAGCTCGAGAGAGAGAAAATGAATTAGAAAAATGAAAGCCTTTTTCTTGCATGATTTCCAAACCTTGGATCCTAATCCAAACCGCCTGTAATTTAAAAATCAGAATATACACCACAGGTATCTTGGCTGGCTGCATCAAGGGTGAAGTTTAATGGTGTCTTGCTCAGAGCCAACGTTAGGACATTGCCAATCATTTCCTATATTTTAACAAGTCCCCAGCACACACAGCATACCTAACACCCAGTTTCTCTTATGAGACCTACCCGCTTTCCAACAAAAACAATCTAAAGCCTTCTGGTTATCAAGAGGACTCCAAAAAATGAAAATTGACTCCCTTTTTCCCTCTCACCAGCTGATTACACTGGCTGCTCAAAGCCATCTGACTGAAACCATCCCACATTTGACAGCAGCGGATGGCCACCAGTCTTCTTTGCCCAAACAACCCCTAAAATATGCCAATAGGAACTTTTAAATTGTTAACAAACTGTCTTGCTCTCCGTCAGAGAGGGGAAAGGATGGTGACCGTCTGTCTCTGGGCTACAAATGAGTTGTGCTGCGCCTGCTCTGTCTCACCTGCAGCACACCTGGCCCACAAACCCCATTCATCTCCAGCAGACAAACCCCAGTCAGCTATTCTTCTCCACCAAACATTTCTACAGCTGAAAGCTCTGGGTGTTTTGCAGTGCCAAATGCTTCGTAGCACGGGAGTCTCTGTGGCCACCCACATTATATTCAAATGCAGAAACGAGCCAAGAAGCTTTGCATAAACAACTTGGTACAATGTGCTGAGATGCTGCTGTATTTCTGCATGACAAGTTCATTACCATTTGGCCTCAGCTTATGCTGATGTACAGTGGAAAAGAAAAGGGAGAGAGAGAGAGACCTTTCACAGTTACATTAATTTCATTTTATTTAATAAAAAACAGTATCAGATTAAAAATACAAACACTTTGGGTGATTATCCAGCGTTTTCCCCTGTGTGCCTCGTAGAGCTCAAACCAACCAAGGATTGGGAGAAAAAAACCAAAAAACAAAACATAACACCAAACAATTTTGGCCGGAGCTGTAAAATAATGTTGCACCAATTAAATTACACCAAATATATTATTATACCTTTGAAATGGCTTTCAGACCAATAAATAAAAAAAAAAGACAAATTCAAATAAAAAAGTCAACTTTGTATTACAAAAAAATTAAATAAAAATCACAACACTAATAATAACAATGTGCAGTCAAGTTTTTTTTTTTTTTCTTCTCTTCTAGGAATGATAACATGCCAGTAAACATGTAACATGCCAGTAACATGCCAGTAAATCCCTACATAACATTTCCAGTTTGGCAGCAAGCAGTCACTCACTCATTCACATTTGTACACAAGGAAGCAGGCCTGGGCAAAGGCCTCGGGAGATACGAGCCTTCGGGGTGCTCCTCACTTCCCTGCCACGGCCGGCTGAGTTCCCTTCCCTTCGTCTTGAAACCTCTATAAACCCATTCAAGGTTTAGTGCCAGATCTGCAGGGAAGGTGTCAATCAGCGGAACCCCACCACAGTGAAGCTCCGTCACGTCAATGGGACAGCGCTGATTTACACCAGCTGAGGATCTGGCTCTCATGCTCCGGGGCACGAGTGGCAAGCTGTGGCTCCAAAGCACATCCTTGTTTCACAAAGGCCACGGAGACTATGTCGAGTTGTTTTAAAATGCAGCGCGGCAAACTTGTTAACGCAATAGACTGCAAAACGGGGTGTTGATTTGGGATGGACTAAAGGAGCACATGCAGGGCCTGTGAGAAGATGGGATGTCTGAACATCATACAGAGAGGTACACATCTGTAGAGAAATGACCCGCAGTTGCCCTTCCTGAGCAAATGGACATTGAGCCAAATTCCACTTGACTGCCTGAGAGCACGTCTCTCATAGATTTCATGGTATTGATGCCGTTTACTCCAGGGCCAAATTTGGTCCAGTGTTTCACAATAAGTGAAGGTTCTCCATAAAGGCAGATTAACTGATTTAGGAAATTCAAGCTCACTCATCTTTTTGCTAGGCAGCCCAGTTGGTTTTTAGGAGGAAGCGGCAGATTAAAGTACCATGATACACTGCATAACGAATCTGCAAGTGAAACAGCTTCCTGTCCCAGATGCCAATGATTTACGGGGTTACCCCTGATTCCCAGGGAATCCCCAGAGGAACTCTATTCCATTTCCGCATGATCTTTAGGATTAGGGACACAGTGGACCAAATTCTGCTTTCAGTTCCAGTTACAGGGTAGGAGTGAGAACAGAGCTTGCCCCATGGTCCTCTGCTCTGGGTATGTGTGTAGACATTAAGTTTTGCAGCTGTGGATCATTTGACATCATAGGCTGAAACCTGCCACTTATTCGCACCAGTGCACCTCCAAGAAAGCCAGGGGCTACGTGCTCATGGAAATGAGACTGAAATGGGCCTGAAGATTCCAGTTTGCCCAGACCTGTCAAACACACAGTGCCTGTCCGACATAGGCTTACATTCAGGTAATCCAGTAGACCCATGTGGTACCTTTATGGGAGTTGAAGCCTTCAGTCTGGATAGTTGGATATGTCTGAAAACACAAACACATATCCTTCTGTTTTTTTTTCCAACTGGTACCATTGCACACACAGTACCAGCTACACTATAAAGAGAGAGGCCTGCAATTTTATGCAAACTCTGTTATCAAATCTACCATTATCATTTCGTCGCTCAATTCTTTCTGCTCCATTACTACCTACCTAGAAACATTTTCATTTGGAGAAAGGCATCTTCCCACTAACTTTCTGACCTCTATCCATTTCCTACATGCTACAACCTTTTCCTTATCTAACATTCTGGTCACAAACTACCTGTCACCCTCAAATACTATAAGCTAACAGCAAGGTGGCACCATTTGCTGACAGTGACTGAACTCTAGATTGGAGGGTCAGTTGACCCTTGAGACCCTTTGTTAGATCCGTCTTTGTCTGGGCATTCATCTGGTTGGCCATTTTGAAAGAGTCACAAATTGAACACATGGGTTGAAATGCCTTAAAAGGTCATTTAGCTGCTGATAACATCCATTCCTTCCAGTTCCCTTTATCATTTCTGTGACCGTTTTTGCTGGTATGAGCAGTAGTTGGCAACAATTATAGGGCTCCCTGCTCACTGAGGAGCAATGGCTCTGTGAGGGGCCAGATCCGAATGTCTTCTCCACCACTTGTCCACCTACAACATGTGAGGTTACTCTGGGGTGAGCCTCTCAAATTATCTGTACCAGAATGAGTTCAGAACCTCTCGGGTGACCCCAGTGGAAGGGACCATGGTGCCCACCTAGCCTGGCCTCCTGCATAATGCAAGCCAAGGATCCCAACGTGCAATGCCTGTATCCAGATGAATAACTTCAGAGAAAATAAAAGTTCTCTTTCTAAAAGACATCCAAAATTTACTTGAAGAATTCAGCTCATCTCTTGATAAAGCTAATCTAATATGAATTACAATCCTCTCAAAATGTGTGTCCCTCACTTCCAGTTTTAATTCTGTCTAGCTTTGACTCTGAGCCATTAAATCTCGATACTCTTGCCTGCTAGATCCTGATGTGCTTTCATCACGTATACAAAGACCAAAGGTTTTTCTCTGGTAAGGTAGGTAATATTTTGAGGACACAAAATTAAGAGAAGTGTGAGATGGCTTCAGGGCTACATTACTAGGAGTTCAGCTAAGTAGGTACAGTCAGGTCCTCTGAAGCAAAACCTACCATTGTCAGCAAATGAGTGACCTGGCTTACTCCATCATAAAGGTACACAGAAAAACTCCCTTCCCTCCCTTTCCATCTTCCCTCTGCTAGTTGAGCTTGTTGCAGATCTCTAGGGCTTTCTTGTAGACCTGAGTCACATCATCCATGTCTGTGAGAAGGGAAAAACTGCTGTCCCCCAGACGGTTGCGATAACGTTTTAGATACTGTGGCCGTGGGCGGTTCTGAAGTCCTTCGAAGTCTTGGATCTGGAGGAAATTTTCAGCAGAGACACAGCTCCGTATCCTCTGTCTGTTTGGCCTGTTCTCTTGCAAATCCAGCAAGTCAAAGGAGTCACTGGACAAAATACTGTCATCACTAATCACACTGGAAGGACGACTGTAACTTCGAGGTAATGCATCCCCAGGCAGGACAACTTCTTCCATGGCCTCCAGCGTTGGTGTGTCAGGGCTAATCAAAGCAGATTCAGTGCTGCTGGTAGAATACTTGCTGTTATGTTTCAAGATGCCCTTACGCCTGCAGGAATGGCTGTAAGACCCATTTCTGGATGGCTCTGTGACCCCTGGAGAAATGTCACTGTTTACTGTCTCATCATTATTGTCCAAGAGTTCAGAAGATTCGCTTCGTTCTGGAGAGGAGTAATAGCCAGACTCCCTCTGCTGAGTCTTCTTTAAGATTCCTTTTTTTGGCATTAGTGAAGACTGCTTAGTGCCATATTTGCCCGCTACCTCTCCCTCCACAACACTTTTAATGGCTACGCCAGTCCTACACAACTCTTGCTCCAGCTTAAAAGCAGAGGGTAACACTGGGCTGACCACTCCTTCAATGAAACCTGCACTGTGAGATCGATGTTCACTGTTGCTCCTTTTCTTCAGGATGCCTTTGGGTCTCTTGGAGATGGGTTTGGATGCATTTTCAACTCCTCCTTCCTGGATGGACTGTGCAATGTCATTTTCCTTTTTTGATTTTTTCAGAGACCTTTGTCTCTCTAGTGTGACTTCAGGACCTTTGGGCTTAGAAAGGCACTTCATTTTGGTATCAGTCTCTGGTTGGAGGCCAGTAGATCGGTGATGCCAATCAATGAACCTTGCCAGCAGTGGGGACTCGGAGTCCCTCATGGCATCACAGTCACAAACACTACTCTTGTAGCCCCAGTTAACCCACCAGTGGTTGGCAATGTCTTCAATGGTTGCTCGGCGTTCAGGGTTTACCATCAGCATCCATCGGATAAGACCACGAGCATCTATGGAAAAAGAATGGAATATACAGTATTTAGAATATGGGCCCTCTTGGTTTTCTCAGTTTAAAACGGAAATGTGAAGCTAATCAAATGAGCAAAAATAATGCTCCTTACTAAAGAAGAAGTGGAAGGGGGCAATGTTTGGCCATCAGTCAATGTGTGAAAATGCATTTGAGAATTACTTCTTATCAGAGGAAAATTATTCACTCTGGGAAATGTACACTGGGTTACCAAAGAAATTAATGTTTGTACTGTATTAGTCAGTGAATAGTTCCATATTACTGATGGAAGTCACCAACCTATCAACTCTAATAATTACAAAACTTAGAGGAAAACAAAGGGGAATAGGGATATTTTAAATGATCTACACATTACTGCTTTTGTATTTACTTTTTCCATAAACAGTGTAGTCTTCTGTACATTTTAAAGGTATATTTTCACAAAGAGAGTAAGGCAGAAAATTGAAAGGGATGGCAATCAAATGATACAAGATAAATATTTGTTTAAATATATAATATATACATAGATGTTTAAGGCTGGAAGGAGTCATTATAATCAATGACCCAGACGTAGTTGATGCTCTTCTGTTGGGTGACCGCTTAATGTGTTTTCTGAGCAGAAGTAAATGCGAACATACTGGCATTAATTCAGATTTTGGCCTGCCTTCTTGGATAAGAGACTGTGTCGCTGTGACCATTCATCTTCTCTCTGCTTGTGATATACCACAGTGTAGTTAGAGGACTGATCTGTACCAGTATGCTGTATCGGTTTACAGCTTGTCTGAACAATTCCACTTGCAATAGCTAACAGACCTTCCACTGTCATAGATCTAGTTAAAAGAGCCTGTTACAGCTTCCCCAAGGCAATAAAATGTATGTGCTATAAAACTTTCATTTCAAAAAGGCTTTTGGTAAATGCTGTACCCAGATGGGAATTGATAGCAGATGAAGTCAGTAGGGGAACGAGGGATTTTTTTTTACTCGTCATTCTAATATGACACCAAAACATGCTGGAAGGGGCCAGGCAAACCCTCCATTCTGAACTCCTGTCAGCTCGGTACTCAGCCCTCACTCTTTTTTTATACCTGAGGTCTGTGTTGGCTCACGATATTCTCCACTGCTGATCTGCCTGATGAGATTTTTGTGATCGAAGCCATCAAAGGGCATCGTTCCATAAACCAGAGTGTAAAGCAATACACCAAGGGCCCAGCTGTCAACCTGAAAGACAGAGACAACGCACGTGAAGCCCAGGAAAGCTGATCCCCACTGTTCTCCCTGCCATTAGCACCACAAGAGCAGCATCACCTCCAGCTGTGCCGGCAAGCCGGTATCCAACATCTGACTAACCACAGGCAAAGCCAAAAAAAAAGCAAATGAAGGCAGCTTGAGAACTTGCAATGTGGGAGAGACCCAAGCAAGACCACATGTGGCAATGCTAGCATTTAGACTAACCCTCAAGAACATTATTGTCAAAGACAACCCCACGCCACCTGTAAAAACTGACCCTTCTTACCTCTGGGCCTCTGTAAGGTCGTCCATTAACTATTTCAGGGGAAGCATAGAGTGGGCTTCCGCAAAAGGTCTGCAGAAACTTGTCTTTGTGATAAAGGTTGGAGAGTCCAAAATCGGCAATCTGCAAATAGAATTGCATGAGCCATCTGTAGTATTAACAATATATTAATGCAACAGAAAATCATCTGCCAGGAAGGACTTAGGTGTATTTGACCCTGCTGCAGGGCAGGGATCTCAATGTAGATAATTTCTCAAGTTCCCTTACCAACCCATTCTATGGGTTCTAAAAATTCCATGATTTTTTTTTACTTTTCTCTCTAAAGACCATGCAGAGAAGGAGAAGGGTCCCTAGGTAAAATCCTCCAGGTTAGGAACAAGGATGCTTTGGTTCCATTCACAGACAGGTCACTGACTGACTGCACAACCATCAGCCAGTAATTTTATCCTGGACAAATTGCTTACGCTTGCAAAGACAATCTCATACTGGGAGGCACTGGGCCTGCTGTCCACTGATTGTTCTTCATCTTGTGTAATCATTAATACCAAAGGAAAGCAAGCAGAAAGCACTACAGTTCTTATCACGCACATGCAAGCCAAAAGCCAAGACCTTTAAATCCAACAGGAGGAGTGAGGCAGGAGCATCACAGGAAACTAAGCACTACAGAAGAGTCATGTTTGAGATCATCTGGAACTTAGCTACACTTGAAAGAGGGGGAAAGTGAGGAACTCACTAACTCTTCCAGATTCAGGGACTCTGGCTGAGGAATCTGAGCTGTTAACACAAGACACGAGATGTCTATCATGAGATAATAAACACAAGTCTGGTTCCTAACTGGAAACAATGGGCCCAAATCCGGCTTTCCCAACACAAACAAAACTTCCCTTGAGACTGTTGGGAATTTTGCCCATGTAGGAATTGCAGGATCAGGTCCAAATATTTTGTTTACTTCAATTCTCTGTTCTTGTTCTTACAAAACAAAGGCTGAGGATAGCAACACTAAATACTCCCACAACCTTTGCATTTCCTTTGTTTCTCCAGCACAAGGCAACACATCTCATTTTTTATCTTGTTTGAAACCCAAACGTTTCTTTTTCCCAGACATACTTCTATTACTGCCCACTATCAACATAAAAGACATTAAGCACAGGCATAAAAAAGGTATTATCAATTTATAGCTATAAGAGACAGGCGTTTTCTCTGGCTTTTCTTCACCTTATTCAGGTCTTTTCTACCAGAAAGAAATTAAATCCCGGGAATTTTCACAAGACAAAAATCAGGAAAACACAAAGTGAATGAAAAAGAAAAGGATTTACCAGCAGCATCATTCACTCTTGGCTTGCTAAAATATGTATAATCAGTGCTGTTAATACCCATTTCATTGCAATATCTAGTGAACTCTTGGGAGACAGACTTTGTCTCTACTATCCGAACTCCTACAGCTACACCTAAAAATGTCACAGTTGCGACCAAAATGAACAAAGTTGGTGAAGTATGGACAGAAGTTCCTGATTTTCTTTCTTTACCCCAAAACAGAAATATATATATGCACACTTTATCTATAAATATAGATATAGATAGGTATAGATACTTTTATGTTAAAAATAGAAACTTAATTTAAAAAATATCATTTTCACAAAATTTTTAAAGTCACAGAGCAAACATGAGATTTCATGCTTCACTCTCTCCTCTTTTGATGTTCTGCTTGTGCAGGTGTTCCACTGACAATTTGGACTCACAATATCCTGCTCAAAGAGCAGCTGATTCTTGTTCATTAATGTTAATTCATCTCACCATGTCCATTCATAGTTTGAATTCACTCAGTCCCCCAAACAGCATATTATGAACCCACAGCAGAAAATTCAACCCTTAAACAAATGCGGTTTGTAAAATCGTCATTGTATGGCTGGAATGTCATTGAAAACAGCTGGTGTACAATTGCAGTCTGCAAACATATTCTCATGGCTCAGATTGCACTTAATTGCCCTAAATTCCACTTTCTTATCAAGTCACCCTGCCTGGCTTGCAGGAAGTTGGTTTTAAGCCTTATGAAGTGTGCCCTGTCAATCTGGGGAAGAATGGGATCGTTTCAGTGTTAAAACTTCGTGCTGGTCATCGAGTTTTATTTTAGTTCAGGATGCAGCTAAGACAAGGACAAACACTGCACAGTGTGATTCCTTAAGAAAATACATTCCCTTAACACCATGGAATGTATAAAATGCATGTGGATGCGCATGAATATATATATAGGGACACAAATACCATTGCTAACACTAAGAACTCTCAGACTTGGGCATTTATGTTTTCATTTTGACCATTCAGGAAAAGAGTATGTTACAGTCCACTCCCATACTCACAGACTGATGTTTATCAGCTTTTCCCATTAAAACTGTCATGCCCCGCAAAACAAGATTAATAGAAGCCAACATTACTTCATGTTCTTGGCACTTAAATGGAACTAAGGCATCAAGTCAAAAAAACTTCCTAAATTGGGAGGAGCGGGGAAGTGGACTTTTATTCCCCTCGCTTCAGGAGGTATATGTTTCATATTTACTGTGAGCTATGATAAACCAGATGTAATTTATTGTTTAAGTGTGGACTATAAATTCCATGAAGTTCACACTCACAGAAATTGTCAGTTCTATCCCACTTAAGAATCTGTCTCTTTGTACTGTAGATAGAGAAATAATTAGGTCTCTTAAAGCAAATGAAACGTATGTGCAGTGGGTGAGACTTCCAGCATGGTAAATCCCAATTACATATACTTACTCTGTATATATGAAACCCTCATGGGTTTTTAGTGGTTAGTCTGATTGGTGTCCCCTTACCAGCTCAAGAGAAAGTGCAGTTAGTAGGATTATGTTACTATTATACTTGCATTTTTCTCTCCTTCTGTCACTTTGGGGTTGATCATACAGTTTACGTCAACCTCTGCTAGACATCTCTTTTAGGTGCAATTCCCAGCCCAGGAGCCACCACAGCCCTACTGTGAACAAGGAGCCCCCCTCCATCATACCAGGCTGCATGACAGATGTGTCCCTGGGGATAGGCTGTGGCATGGGGCAGGGACACAGTATTTGGACAGGCCAGCAAGAGGCACTAATTCCCCAGCTGCTGCACTGGGCAGCAGTTTCTCTCCACCTCCCTGCATGCAGTTTTGGGGATTTAGGCACTAGGGGGGAGCTGCAGTGCTGCACCAGGGACACGTGGTCCTCACCAGGCCAAACTGCAGGAGCTATAGCAAACAGAGGCAGCTACATCCTCGCCCCATTACTATTTCTTCTAGTAAATTCACAGCTACAATGAACCAAAAACTAGCATCCTCAGTCCTTTTAAAACTAATTAAGAGAAGATGACATCACCAGACAGCTTTTTTTGAAGACCACCAAATGCAGATTTTAGAATACCAGGTTGGAAGGAACCTCAAGGATCATCTGGTCCAACTTTTCTTGGCAAGGAAGATGCCTAAAGCTGGTGTGAATCTCCTCCCACAAAGAGCTATCTAACTCACCAACTCAGGGCAGCTCTTTCGGTGCTTTGGGGCTGCCTTAGCCCTGCTGCCTGTCTGACCCTGCCCACCCTCCGCTGTGTTAGGATTATGAACGATGATATCCTCTCAATGGGATGAAAATACCAGTGAGAGGATGCTCTCACCACTACATGGTGGGGGAGCAGTTGTACCCACCCCCGGGAACCTGGGGCAAGCAGAAGGGGCAGCTCCAAATTACTCAGAGCTGGAGGGTGGAAGGCAGCAAGTACAGGCAGCTGAAAGGAGAACAGAGTAAATTTTAAGGTGAACTGTGCTGTTAGCAGCTGGCACATGAATGTGAGGAAGGAGAGGCTTGTACGCGCTGCAGAAACCTGAATTTCATCACCGTGTTATTCCTTTAAAGAACGTGGCACCACGAAAAAGGTAGGAAAGCAAATAACATTTTTCTACCCTGGGAGGCTGCAGTGTCTTGGTAAGGTTTAGCTGTAGGATTGTGCCCCACTGTTGACCTGCGCAGACAGGCTAGGTCCCAGGAGAAACATTCCCACTGTGGTTTCTGCCAGATAGTTGGGTGTATATCGGGGGAGCAAGGCAAGGTACTGTTTGATTGATTGGCTGGATGAGCTCCTTGTACCCCATAGATCTGCGTGCATGTTCAGTCTCTAAAGTGTTTAAAACTCGCCTTATTCACTTGTGTTTGCTGCCTTTAGGGGTTTTAAGTAATAGTTTGTAGGAAATATTACCGCATACACCAAGTCCCTGAAAAACATAATTACATAGCACAGATCAGATTAATTTCTTCCCCTTCATTACCCTCCACCTCTGGCCTGCGGACCTGCAGAACTCTTCAAAATGTGTAATTTTTGTCAGCTTTCAGACACTGGTGTTTCCTAGTTGCTGTACTCCAACATATAACTCCATTTCCATAGATTTTTACTCACTATCATAATTTTTTTTTAAAAAAAGTTGATTATGTCTCCATACACTCCTTCATGACCTTAATTTAATTAGCTAAAATTTAAGAACCATTTCCAAGTTAGTGTAGTATCACGTAAAATGGCTTGGGGCCCTTTTAGGTTGGCTAATAATTTCTAATGGATTACTTGTCCTCTTTATTTCCTGTTCTAAAAGTATTGGTGAAGTTGCTATACATGGATCTGTTTTTACAACGTCTTATTTTTTTCTTCACATTAGTATGACATGTTTGTGTATATCATAATGTATAGATTACTGTCTTCTTCAGAAACATGTATTTAATTGCACATTGCACCCAAGAACAAAGAGATTCCTTTCATTTTCTCATTCTTAAAATCAAACTGCCAATTTTCTGAGTGCTTTGTAATCCACTGAATGAAATATAAATACTGGGAAAGTATAGATAAGACTATCACTCCATTTCTAGAAAACGCCTTCCACTGAGTATTTGAAGCCATCAGTCAATACCCAACCCCAAAATGCATATTTCTCTTTTTCTGCCTGAATAAACCATATATAAATACTCTCAGAATGAGGACCTGATATATATACTCCTAATAAATAATTTGCAGCTCCATATGTGTTTCCTTGCCAACGGTTACTGTTTAGTCAAACAAAGAAAAAGTGGGAAGTAAAATTCTGTGCAAGTAGCATAGAAACCACAGTAACATATTCAAAGCTTCAGTATCAGAGAAATAGTGGCAGTGTGCTTAACATCAAGTATTCAAAGCTCATCTGAGTCACGAGGTGTAAAAAAAAGAGCAGGGAGAAAAAGGAAAACAATGCAAAAAGACATCTCTTGAAGTAACCCAAATTCAAACCTATTAATAATAGGACGTATGAAATACCAACGGCTCCCCAAGTTTGGTCTTAGGAATAAATAGCCCCTTGCTAATAAATAAAGACCCTTCACAGAAACAGTTGCCAGGGGACAACAAGGGAGCTTGCGGCCACCTACCCACGCTGAGGCAGCCTTGCCCCTCAGAGGCATGCTTTATGGTTTGCAGAGAAGTAACTAAGGAAAGGCTGGAAATACGCAAAATACCTACACAGCAGCTTAAACACAACGCAGTTCAGGAAAAATAAGCCTTCAAGAAAGAGATGTCCAAATGACTGGAAGGGATGTGAGGAGTTGCGGCTACCCAAATTTCTTCCACAGCAATGCCACTCGCTATGGCAGCTGAAATGCAACTGTGGTTCTGAAGCTCCTGGGTCACCTCCACAGTCCCCGTCCCTGTCCCGTCCTCCTGCTCTGCCCACAGGATGATTAGACTCCCATAAAGGAGAGAGGGGAGGGAGTGGAGCCTACTGACAAAGCACAGCTCCCTGGAGGTTTAGGGAAGTGATTGGTTTTGCATATGAGGACCACAGTGCGGAGTTCCAGGCCACTGCAGCTAGCAAATTCCCCAAATTCCTCTTTTCTCTCAAGAATTCTCTGATTAGCTGGGAAGATAGTTTGGCGTGTAATGCGGAAAGAAAGGTCATCCTGCCTGCGGAAGCCTGTTTCGTATACAATGTCCTAGAAAGGCTACTTTTTGTTTTCAGCGCTGCTGAGAACAGCTCGGGCTGCTGCAGCCAGTGTCCCTGTCGGAACAGGAGTGGGGAGGTTCGCACTAACACTGGATGTGAACAGCAAAACGGCCAAGTATTGCGTTGGATGCGCCTTCTGCAAAAGCCTATTTTTAGAAACCACATATTTATCTGCCTTTAATCCACTAGTTGATCCAAGTTAGCTTCTGTCATCAGCGTTATACAGATGGCAGCTACCATATGTTACTTTCCATTCCCATTGCACATCAGCTTAAAATGAAGACAATCTCTCCAGTGTGAAGTGCAGAAGGCAGTGTGTGCAGCCCCATGGCTTTGAGCGAAGACAAAATGAAGATCCAAGCTATTTAGATATTTGGCTACGCAGGGAGCTCCTCAATTACTTTGTTAATTAAGCAAAGATGCCCAAGCATCAGCAGAAACTCTTCGGTGTCCCTCCCTCCGTTTGTCTGCCCATAGATGAGCGCACCCAGCCACCCTCATACCCAGCTATCCAGGGAGGAACAAAGCTGCAAGTGAAACAGGTTCAGCCACCTGGAAACTACGCTCATCTCTGCATTATTTATCTTTGTGCTACAGCAATTAGGAAAAAAAGAAGAAGGGAAAAAAGGTCATTCCCATGCTTTCACTGGGGAGAAATGACATGGAAATGACATCACTGACATCACTATCCAAAGTATACGTTTGTGTCTGGAGTTCCAAGGCCATTTCCTAATGAAGCACATGTGCTTTACTAGGTTTATTTTGAAATTCTATTTGCTTATTTTCCAGCCATGATCAAAAGGATATTCAGAGTGTTCTGTAGGAGGCACTTGAACCCTGTAGACCAGGAGAGTTTTTTCCTAGCCCCAGCAGCAGTCAGCAATACTATCATTTGTACAATAAACCCGACTGCACGAAATGCTCTGCTGCTTCCTACCAGTAAATAGATACTGCTGTGGGAATCGTGGCCCTTGGGTGGCAGGACAGGGCCTTCTTCCCCAAATTACGCAAAGCTTCATTTAGCGTGTATGACTCTTCACCAGTGGTGCTCTTTCCCCAATCTCCAAAACCCCTGAGACTTTTGCCAGATGCTGTTGCTTAGTAGCTGTTGCCATAACACTGGCTCTTCTAATACTTTGGATAGAAATTTTACAAAACATGCAAATCCATTCTGAGAAGTTGAGAAAAAGAATCCTACCTTAATATTAAAATTGTCATCAAGCAGGATGTTTTCCAATTTTAGGTCCCTGTGGACAACACCGTTCTGAAACAAGGAAGAAAAAAACAGGGGGGAGAACATGAGAAATTATTGGGAAAATTAAAGGTGAGCCGGCAGGGTGGTCTTTGCATCTACATTTCAGGGCTGATTTCACTGTCATAACACTCACGGCCCAGTGACTAGTGACAGGCGATGTATTAGTCACTTGGTGTGTGGTTAAGGGAAGAATGACTGGAATCTGTCCTCCCACAAAGCCTCTGAAACAGCAGGAGGGGTGGGGGGTGTCTTTTCCGAACTTAATTCTAGCCCGGATCCTGCCCCCACTGCGTGAAAGCAATATATTCTTCCCAGGCACCAGAAAACAATATCTGTCAATGACGTTAGTCCTCACAAAAGCCCTCGTTCCTCCAACGTGCAGCCACATGGATCAGGAGAGTTATAATCCTCAAGGACTGTAAATGTTAGGGATGGAAGCGAACAAGCTGGGTTTAGGCCTGTGCCTTTTTTAAAGAAATTTGGGAAAAAATAACGGCACAGGGAAGGTCGCTGCGGCTTTTCAGCACTGCGCAGTGAGGACTTTGAAAACCGTCCCTGTTTATCAGAATTCAAGTGGAGATTAAAGTGTTGAAGAATTCAAATAAAAAATTGTGTTAGCTGCTCATTGCCTTTAGCCTCATGCAAGTTTTGGCTCTGTGCAGTTGGTTCATAAGCAGGGATAAAAGGTCCGTGATGAGAGCCAGTCAGCTACCTTGGGTTTAATTGCTTAAATTGTCATTCTAGTGGGTACCATGATGGATAAATTCATTAGCAAAGGTTATCTTTCTAGTACCTCTGCTACATCTGGAAAAGTTGGTTTTGCGTATCCAGAATGAGTACATGAACATACATGAACACACGTACCTTTCCCTTTCATATATTTTATCTCCTATTCTAAAGTTGTTCACTTGCATATTCAAATTGCAAACCATAATTAATTTGATTGTATTAATAACAATGTTGTAGAAGTTCTATGGGATGCCTTTTCTAGTTTATGTTGTTAATTATTTTTTTTAGTGTCAGGAGAATTATTTCCAAGCCAAAAATGCAATGTAGGGCTAATGTAAGGGAGTGGCTGGTATCTGCCATAACACAGGAAAACATCCTCCGTCTTTAAAAACAGGCAGTGAACTACTATAGCAGTTTTAATGAAAGTTGTGCTGATATAATCACATGCTGTCATACTTAATAATGAACGCTGTTGCCCCAGACATGCTTTGAAATATATGTCACTACTCAGCCTTCAAATAGCATTTTTAATATCAAATCCTTTGCTCACCTTGTGGCAGTAATGTACAGCAGAGACTATTTGTCGAAAGAAGTGTCTTGTCTCTCTTTCGCTCAGTCGCCGCCTCTCGCTGATGTAATCATACAACTCTCCTTTACTTGCATACTCCATGATGATCACAATCTTATCTTTATTTTCAAACACTACACAGGATAAAAGAAAAAAAAAACACAAAACACCACAGTTGATTCAATGCATTTGAAAACTGACACTTGAAAGGGTGAAGAAGACTTGGCATGACCAAACACATCCTATGCCATCACCGCAGCCTGGAGAGACGTACTACCAACCCCACCACAAAAACCAATCTCCAAAGCTAAACTTTTCCAGAGGAAGTTTACAACATTTCAGACCAAGAGAAGGAAGTTGAGGCTATTGTCACTTTAATACGGCTACATGAAAGAAGGTCTTTGCCTCTATAATATGGGGTCACAGGATGGCAAAGTCAACTTGATCCTAATGAGGTCAGGTGGGCTTTTGTCCCAGCGACATCTGAATACTAACTGCAGCTCCAACAGGGACTGCCTCTTGCCAGTACTCCTCTTGAGGCCAGAGGACTGAAGGAAACGTGAGCTATCACGTCACTTGGAAAGGGTTAATAGAAGGCATAATAAACCTTGTCTTGAACAACTGGCTGATACAGAACTGCCATTTGGCTTATAATGACTGTTGGTTGGCTTTCACCTACCACCAAAATCCAACAAGTCAATTGATGCATGCATCCACTTCCAGCCCAAATCTGTGCAACAGCATGGTGGGCACAGACACCTGAGCTAGCAGCGGCTTCAATGTCTCCAGAGCTGTACAGCTCTTGTCAGTATGGCTCTGCACCCCATCTCATGCACCCAATCCACTCTCAAGCTTACTTATCTCCTGCCTCTTCCGCATGTCCCATTGCATGCTGTAGATACGTCCTTTGCCACTTGTGCAGAGCCGGCAGCAGTGCGCAACTCTCACGTAAGCAGTCCAAGGAACATTCATCTAATACACATCACAACTTGACTGTTCTTTGGGGCTGAGGGTACTTTGTGCCACATGCTGTCAAGGACTTCACTGGGAGTTGCAGATAACTGAACACTTAATCTAGTAAAGCAGGCTGTGAGTAGTCTCGAATTGCCATAATGCCCTGGCCGCTAAATAGCCTTTCCCTTCTGACACTGAAAATCCTCTGCAACCCACTGGAAACTTCCTGCACCTGCCATAAATAACCACTGCTCATATTAAAACATGGTGATTTGCCTTCTCTTTTTATCTGTGGCAGCAGCCTGCTGAGGCCAGTTCACGCTGGCAGCAAAGCATCTGCAAGTTAATGAGGTTACAGGGGTTATTACAAACGGATGCTAGTTTTGACCAGCCCTGCTGGAATGATGCCTTCCTGTATCTCTTCAGCAAAGCTCAGCTAGTAGTCTGTAGTGTTTTTCTTAAAAAAAAAAAAAAAAATCACAAAACCAACCTTCAACTTCTGCAGTGAAATACGAAGCAGCCTCTCTCAACACACAGATATTTGCTGCTCTTAGGCTTTGTCTCATGTCCTCTCACACCTTGTCACTCAAGTCTACAAGCCAAAGCCTCTGCAGTTCCCTCTAACACCCCTGAACCCCAGCCAAAGAGCTCTGATAAAAGGGAGAGCGAACAGCCAGATAAAATTGGCCGCTTACTTGTCTGCTGGCCTCGCTGTACCCCAAAGCAGAGGCTCCTGCCAGTGATTACATCCTATGTGCATCCTCATTAGCAATAAACTTCGGAAACTGGAAAAGCCGTCTCTGGATGGATTATACTTACAGTATCCTCTCCAAGAATGACAGACTGATATTGTCTGGGAAAAACGGAACATGCCCTGTGTCATATAGGGAAGTGCTGTGATGTGTTACCAATAAAGCAGTAATGCACACTCTCGTTTCTCTAAGCTTGCAAAGGCTCGTTAGATACACGGTTGTTTAGGAAGGCAAAAAGAAATAGCTTCAGTAAGCTGAGATAAATCACTAAAAATGCTCTTATTTAAGCGATTTGATTTAAAACAAAACAAAACAACATCAATCTCCCCCTGCAAACTCAGCTGATTTAATGACTTAGGGTTTATTATACCATGCACATATAGGTGAAGTCTCCACATGTCACCACTGATCTCAGTGGACTCTCATGCAAGTGCACACTCTGAGCAGTACCAGCCGATGACCACCCTGAGCTCAGGGGGACGTTCACCTCCCCAGAGGGGCACAGATGGGGGCGAAACGGCCCTCGGCCCTTTTCCCTGTTCCCCTGATCGCTGATACCCTACCAGGTGTTCAGTGCTGATGATGACAATAACAGCAATAACAGCCCTGCTGCGATGGAACATTCTTCCAGACGGTGTTTTTACTTAAGTTTCGCCTTCAGCACTCAGTCACGAGAGCTTTCTCAAATCATCCCTGACGTTATAAAGTTTTAAATTCCAAAATCTAATTTTTCTGGACTAAAATTTGCCATTTTAATACAAGTTCTGATCAAGACATTTTCCTGCATTTCTACAGCAATGAAGCAGAAAGCACTTGGTTTGGAGGAATGTGCATTTAAAGGTACTTTCCATTTCAAATTTTCTATTATGCCCTCTAGGAAACTGAGGCAATACCTTAAAACTGAACTTCGGAAAGCATAAATCACTGTTCCAAATTTTGAATTTTTGTCAGAAAACTGCACTAGAGTCAATGAGAATAGAAGCAACCCAGTAACTTGTATGTGAGTTTCAGTTTGCCAGCACACTCTGGTCAAATGGGCACATCTTTTTCTTCATGAGGGAGCACTACGAGTAGAACACTACCCTTGGCCTTAGATGACATTACAGAGGCCTCCTCGGCATCATCATAGCTGAGCGATTACAGAATTGAACTGCAATTTATCTCTTCACCAAGGAGCAGAGGTGAGGGTGAGAGGTATTTTTTTACAACTACATCATTTCAGTTTAGAGCATCTCCATTGTATCAGCTGAACCTCATGTAGGCAGCTACTTTTCTGCAGAGAGGGAACTGAACAGCAGACAAAAAGGTCTGAAATGGGAGCTGCCACGGAAGGAATAGGGAGTGGAAAGGCAGTAGGATTTATGTCTACACTCACACAATCTTAAAGAGGAATGTAGTGGTCAAAACAATCGGGCACATGACAAGGTGGTATTCTGGCAAGTCTCAGACTATCAGCCATGTACACCATGAATTTTCACAGCAGCAGTTAGGATGCCAGGCAGGCTTCATACAGACACTTCTGAATTTCCCTTCTGAGCACAGTATGCAGTTTTATAAACATATGCTCCAAGAAAGCATTGTGGCCAATGGCTGGAAGAAGAGAGAAGGGCATTAATTAAAGGCTGGATTGACTTACTGCAAATAATAATGAGGTAATAAATAGACTGCCCTGTTAACACCTGGGCCGTAACCTGCAGGCTGATGACGGACGGATTGCCCCCATATAGCTTCTGGGACTGCTTGGTTCACTCTTTGTTTTCCTTGCGAATGATTTATTACCTGCCATCCTACTGCATATTCATTCTGAAACTCGCCCCCGCCTAGAAGTCTGCCTGAACCTCGGCTGCAGCTACTGCGAACGGAGAAGCACGGCTCCTGCAGGATACTGTGTCCCAGGAATTCCCTGCAGCTTGTTACTGATGGGACGGCCATGTCATACGAGCCTGCTCCTCAACCCTAACCAAGGTCAAGGGAAGGAGGGAGGTTATGTATAAGAAAGGTGGGGCTGCTCTTGATTCTTTCAAACCATCGACACTCTGCAAACAGAGCTGGCCAAATAAGATAAGTGGAGAACTGTCAGTATCAACACCCAGATAGATGGGTGGAGAGATGTTCTGTCAATCGCAAATCAAGAGATGGGGGTTGCTTAGATATGAGGCATGAGCTCCATGTATTAGAGGAGACAGCAGCAGGATAAATGCTTGCTACAACCTGCGTGTCATTTATTTCTGAGCCACTGTATTTGTTTCCACCACTCTGCAAGCTGAGTTATGCTGGGAGAGCTGCAGCAAGACCTCGGTGTGGTGGGAGGGATGCTGCACTATCTCAGCCATAGCAGTCAAGCAGTGCAGGGCAGTAGTGGCTGCAAAATGCTAGCACTCCTTTGCAGACAGAGCCTGCAGGGTGAAGTATTGACTTCTGAGATGGCTACACTTTCACCTGGCCACAGGGGAGGAGGGAGGGACAGCACTGTGAGAACACATCAGGAACCAGGGAGCGGGAATGGGATGTAGCATAAGGTGTGAGGAACAACATGCAAGAATATTGTGTTAACGTACTAAGACACGGGGGACAGCAATGTGGAGAAACAGCATTTTCCAGTAGGCTACAAGCTTGGTTGGGCTTGGTCTGTTCACCCCAAAAGCCTTAGCAGAGGCTAAGAACAACTACTCCACCCAAGCACCAACAGGTGCTTAAGATTAAGTGGTCAAAGAAAGATTTCTTACAGCTTTTCTTTAAACTCCCCCCTTAACTCTAACATGTTTGTTTCGTTATTTAAAAAAAAAACCAAACAAACACAAACCAAAAAATGACAGACAGTTCTATAGTTCTAGGCTGATAATTGAAACCAAATCTGCTGGCTTCAGAGCTCATTGAAGAACATAAATGAAACTGGGAAAGAACTTCACTTCTCACTACCAAAGACATATCTGAGACAAAGTACATTTTGTAACATCAACAATCTGTCTCTTTCACAGGCTGTTCTACTATAGCAATAATTCTTGGATATAATCTCTCCACTTATTTATATTTAGAGGCCATGAAATGATGAACTCAGTTTCTATCTACAGCTTTCCATTTTCCAAATAGCACTAGTTGCGTAGGGACCTCTTGCTGATCAGCACTCTTCTTTTCTTTTCAATCCTACCGCTAAATTCTTCCCTTTAGCTACATCAGAGTCATCACTGCTGAAATTCCATGGGACAAATTTGACACTGGATGAACATACTCGCTACCCATCTTAAACACTCCTGAAAACGGACTTCACCCTAAATGTGTTGAAAGCCCACACGGGCATGGTTTTGCAAACACCAGGCAAAAAGATTTAATGGTATGTTGTACGCCTCTCTAGTAGGACAGTTTGCTTTGGACTTATTTACTACTGAATTGAAAAAGCAAAATAAAGCACAACGCTTTTGCCCTTCCTC